ACGATAGGCAAGAAAACGCCACGCTCTCTTTTAACGAGTGCCGGCCACGACACCAGCGATTGCGACGTCAGCCACTCTTTAAAGCTTATTCACCAAATGACGACAAAGAGCCTTTGACAGAGATTTTTCCAGATTGAGACTTTATTCCTGCTCATTCAACCTCTCGCCGCATTAGTTGAGACTGAAAATGATTTAATTAAAAGGAAGAAAGGGGCAACTGGGTGTCAGACGAACATTCGTCTTCGAATTCGCGTGCGATATATTTTTTTTGCTTGTTGAATTGTCATTTTTTTTCTTGGGAAGAGGAGGATCTCTTTTAATATGTTTCGAAAGCTGTTCTTTAAAGTGTTGGTGGTTACTAAGTACGTGCCACGGTAGTGCACTAAATTTGAAGACGGTGTTGTCATAACTGCCACTAAAGTGCGCGCCTGAATTCACTATAGCGGCTGCTATCAAAGCAGGCAATATGTCTGGACTAGGTGCCCTTAACCCGTTCTCCGCTTTTTATTGCGAGAACACAAGAAAAAAAAAACACTCCGCGCACTGCTTCCGAATCCGATTCAAAGCCGTCATCGATTTGTGCTGCGCGTCTCCAATGTGTCACTGCGCCTCCCGTGGACCCATTTGTGTCTTGAAAAGAAATAAGCTGTAAGCAACAACTTAAACAGCAGAACACAGGGCAATACAGAGATTAAATAATAACGGAGGTGCAAGTTCCTGGGCTATTGGGAGGTTTTTAGGCAGGGCCTACTTTGTGTCGCGCAAGCATGCCGTACGCAGGCCAACGGTGCGCGCTCCGCAGACCCCGTTGCCTCGGCAAGATGGCCGCCCCCACGGCTCGGCGCAGTTTGCAGACGACTAGGTTTGCTTGAAGCAGGTGTGTGTTCTCCACGCATTGTCTGAAGTCCTTGTGCGCGTATTCTTGCCGGCGCGAACGCTATTTTCCATGTACCCCAAGCGGTCGTGCTCAAGAAATAGAAGTACACAGAATCCGAGTCTTCCTTGGCCACGACCCTGGGAGAAGAAAGCTAAATGTCAAACGATCGGGAAGACGCAGTGATTCCGATGTGACAGCCTTTAAGACGACATCTCGCGAACTTGTATGGGTGATAGTACGGACGTCCGCTCGGCTACAAGTGTTTTAAGAACTGACTAGACTGTCTTCTAAGTGGTAGTACGTGATGTAGGTCACTAGGACGGGTGGACCATGTGGAATTTATTGATAGCTTTTGTCTATGCGTTTGGGATTATCAAGTAGGTAGCTGCAATCTTTGCTTTTGTTTGGACTGTGGCGATATCATTACTCCCAAGCTACGAAGTCACTCTGAATAAGGGGCGTGGTTTACGGCTCTCAGTGTCGTACGTCAGTACAGAAAATCGAGTTTTGTCTGACCACTGTCATCACGTTTCAGCAGTAATTTTTACACGTCTACAGCTCGATTGTTAATGAGGTTCGAAGTATAGCACTTTTGTCAAGAAGCAGACACAGGAACCAAACTAAGTATTGCGCCCTGCGAATGAACGAGAACACCAGGGGAGTGGGAGACTGACATCGCTGTGTTTTCCCTGTGTTTTCTCTGTGTCCTAGTTATGAATAAAGGTAGCGTATTCCGGGACCCGTAATATTTACTATGTACTACTAAGAACGTGCCCAGGCTGTCATCGCTGTTTTTTTTTGTTTTATTTAAACTCGACTTAAGGTATTCGTTGTTGAAGCGGGCTTTCTTACATGTCTAGTCATGTCACGGAGATGCACGCTTTACAGGAGTGAACAAAAATGGGGGAAACGTGGCAAGTGGGTTTGAGATTACTCAAGCACGATTCTTTGCGTTGCTTACATTCTTGAAAAAAAAAAAATGAATAGAAGATAAATCTCATAGAGCTAAGAAATTCGTGATTATAAGACACCAGTATTCACAAACTTTTCGTTTCTTACATTGTTTGGGAATACATACGTTTAAAACCATACAAACTGTGGTCAAATTAGCGGGTGAAAAAAGACAGCAACTTAAATGCAGCTAAACTGGCCCCGCATGCCTGCAAAATAAAAAGGAAAAGCGACAGCAACCAATATTTCACATAAGCATCACATAAATGAAATTCATACACATGTAAAGTGAATGAAAACCTGCATATAAGGAGGCTAATATAGGTATAGGCGACGTTAATTGCACTGTTTTAAACGTATTTTAGAAAATTTTAATATAAATGGCAAGAAAGTACAGTTGACTAAAAGACAACTTGGCGGTGGCAGAGATCGAACATGTTGCCTTCGAATCTGAAGATTGGTTGTTTTGATTTAGGTTGAGCAAAAAAAAAAGGCAGAAAGAAAACAAGTCTTCGAAAATTCATTCTTTCATTTCATACACATATAAGGTAAATGTTATAGCAAGACACAAAGGAAATACACGCATTCACATGAAAAATTCGCCGTATGAAGCTTGAAATTGACAAATATAACTATTGGCTCACAAACTCGGCGTCAAATTTGATCTGGGCATCTTTTTCATCTTGCCAGTGGCAACAATTCAAACAATGCGCTTCGATTGCTACACTACTGGCTCAAGCATGACGTTCCCGAGGCCGCCAATTCGTTAAGTAATAGAGCGAAAATGCAACTGTGTATTCCTGTTTAATGTGGCCTTGAGATAGACTACTTTTCAGCCTCCACTGCTTATTATGAGGCCTTGCACGTGACCATTGGTGCTTAACATGTGAACATAATTCGTGAACATTGCGAAAGTTTCTGAGCGATATTTCTTAATAAGCAATAAAACACTAGTGACTTAAAAAATGCTCATTTTGTCGCCCCCTCGCCCCCCTTTCAAGTCTTAAGAGGAAGGGGGGGTGGTGAATTCTGCCCCTCACATTTCCTTATTAGGGAATGGGGTGCTGCGAGGATCCTTCGCCCCCCCGCCCGTTTTCGAAGATACACCCTGCGCACACCTATAGATGTGACACACTGTTATTTGACGCACTTACTGTGAATGGGCACGGGGCAAGAGCGAGCGCGCCTACACCCACCCCCCCCCCCCCTTTGAAGAAACCGTCATCGTCTGTTTGTGAAGGTTTCCTTTTGTAGACAGACATACGTTTTGATTTATGAAGGTATACTTAAACCCTTTCGCACGCCCTTATTTTAGACGTTAACAACAAAATGAATTAGTGCGTTCACTTGTGACTTGCCTCTTGTGCTGTCTGTTATGTGTGGTGTGCCTAAGGGCAATAACAAAAAAGTACTCGTCTGAAAGTGTGGCTAGTAGAAAAAAAAGTTTTCTGATCTCTCTTGTGCCAGCCGTAGCGGCTGCTTCAAGTGTGCTTGCTCCCTGTCCTTCCTCATTTATTCCTCCTCCTCCTCCTCCTCCTCAAGTGTGCTTGAAGGCCTAGATGGCTCTTAGGTAAGCTAGTTGGCTTATGAACATTGCGACGACTAGTGTTAGTGCGCCTTCAGTAGCACCTTTTGGAAATAAGCTACCTTGAGCCTCACATGGAATCGCAGAGCTTCTTGTTTCAGGATTTTGACTCCTGTCGTACGCTGTGGTATGTTGTGACCATATGCTTTCATTGCATGCACTCGTAGGCAGGCCCGTGTGCTCAGATTTGGGTGCACGTTAAATAAATTTTTGTAGCCCTCCACTACGGCGTCTCTCATAATCATATGGTGGTTTTTGGATGTTAAACCCCACATATAACTCGTAGGCTGGCGTAACGAAGGGAAAACTGTGAACAGCATAGCCATCTGTTGCATACTGAGCGATGATATTACACCAAGAAGGAGCCTTTCTTCTCTTTTTCTTCATGCACATTGATATTGATATTAAGTTCGGATCACTTTAGGGGTCCGGGTTGTTGTATGCTGCCGTCCCTTGGTGTAGCGCAGGTAAAACCATAAAAATAGAAAAAAATAGGAAAAAAGTGGAAGATAGAAAAAGAAAGAAAAAATAGGAAGAAAGTAGAAAGCGAAAAAAAAAAATAATTAGATAAACAGAGAGCAAGGCATAAAGAATAGAGAAAGAAAAGACGGGGGAAAATCCAGAAAATAAAAAAAATGAAAGATGGAAATCGAAGCTGCTGCAATCGCTCGAGGCAGCTGCATCAGCAAACCATCAATAGCGTTATCTGAAAAAAAGAATTGGTGATTTTAATTTCGGCACTTGATGGTCCGGGATGAGAACGTAGTTTCTTGCAGTCTCTCTCCACTTTTGGTTTTGTGTTTTTGTTTTTTGTTTTTGTGTTTTTCGGTTTCTGCTTAAGCAAGTGATCTTATCGCCTTTTTTTGTAACTTATATATGTGCGTCGTTGTAGTAATAAATTTAGTTGAAAGTCTGCGCTCGTC